TTTTTTTTTTTTTTTTATGGTTGGATACCCAATCTGGAGGATATGCCCATCAGAAACTTCATTATATTAGCTCTTTTTATCTTTGCAGCCTGTACTATTAAGCAAGTGGCCAAAAGTCAAAGAACCTAACATGATAGCCATCATGGCAACTGAGCAGATAATCTAGTGGGGGTTCTTTGTGTTCTGCAAGGCTCCACACTTCCCTCTTCAGTCTATATACACCATTGGTGATAACTGACACTATTCCCCCCACCACCACCAAAATTCTTACCGCTTCATGATTCTTCTTCATGCATTCAAGCTCTTCCTGCAGACTCTCAAACTGTGGTACCAGGGCGGATTTAGCAAATGTCAGTTCGTCCAATACTTTACGCAGACCACATATGTCTGATTCTACACTCTGATAGAGGCACAGTTCATTCTCATACCTGAAAGAGAATCATTAATTGCACACCATGATTTTGAACACCATTCATTAAACTTTATGATGGATTACATACAAGGTTCTGTATCAAGCTCAAGTTGGCATAGGTGAGTGATACCATTATCACTTGTAAAAGCTCTTCCTCTTTTGTTAACCTGCATCTTTTGTGTTTCTTTTTTTGTTGTGGTAGATCACTTTTAAGTGGTGAAAAACCATCTGGTGGGGATACACTATACTGTTGCCTGGATTTTAATAAAGAAACATTTGATGAAGATTCACAGTGTGTGCCGATTTTTGGACTGATTTAGATGGCTTTTCAGAGTGCAGATGAACGTCAAGTGCAGTTGAATACCTACTGCCTCCTGAATACATGTTTTTTTTTAACCCAAGGCGATTCTACATTACAATACTGTGACACAACCCCATACCAAGTAGTTTTGCAGTCCCGTTGACTGAAATAGTTGTGTTTGGCAAGCAGCACTGGCTTACTATACAAAATTTGCTGCGTCTGCAAAGCATTGCGGGCTGTGTACAACTCCGAGCAGCCGCCATATTAGGATTTAGGTAGGTGGTCAGGAGGCAGTAAAAATACAGATCAACAGATTTACTGCCCCTTTGCTGCCCGTGTGCGGTTGTTGGGGGCAAATATATCATCTATCTTTCAAGAACCTACTGAATACTTTATATTTAATTCACAAAAGAAAACACAGAGTTAAATCAGATTTCACAGTCATCTAACAACAAGTACCGGCATCCGGTAGAGAACCAGGCTTCCCTGTTGTTTTGCAATTAGAAGGCTTGCTAGCCGTGACAGTATGGGTAGCAATATGGTATAGGTTTCTGTTGTGTTGACAAGATCTGCCATCTGCAGGTTGATGAAAGTGGACAGCATGTGTTTTTTTTATTCACATACAACTACCATGGTCTGGTAGCACCTATTTACAACAAAAGCAAAGTTCTACAAAACATAGACAACATCAGTGTAATGTCCAATTAAGCTGCACTAAATGGAGCTGAATGCTGATGGAGCCTAAGCATCCCTAACCAGCCATCTATACTTAGCCATAATGAGAAAGAATAATACCTAACATTATTGCTAGCATCTCCACTTACTTAATTTTGAAGTCCTCAGCAGCCAGCCTGGCGTTGTCTATCTGCAGCACAATTCTGGCGTTTTCATTACTTTCAGATAAAATCTGGAGATTAAGATCAGTTTAGTATTTTTTTTAAAAATAGAATAAAACATTTATTTTCATGGCTCATACAATATAAAAATGTTCTATGGCATCTGTAGAGTCATACTAAATTATATATTACCATGTACCAAACAGCTTATCGGGTACCCCCTGAAGATCACCGCATAGATTTAAATACTCCTAAATTAATACATTTAGCTCTAGTGTTATTCAATGTATGCTTTTGGTTTTGTTTCAACTTTTGGTTTAAACCAGTTAAATATATTCTAGCTGCATCGACAAAAGGTGATCAAAGTCTGATAGTTGATTTTCTTTCTTTTACCACTCATCCTGAGTGCATCTGAACAAATTTAGGCTACTTTATAAAACCAGGTTAAACTATATAGGCATCCATAACCAAGGTCACATTGTTGTAAATGCAGATCGGAGAAGGGGAGGGGGGTCCCATAATCCAAGGCATTGTGAAGCGTGAGAAGGCAACAAAGCGTGAGAATGTACATTCCAAAAGAGAGAAACAGAGTAGCCAGAATATCTGGAGTAAGAGAGAAATGGAAAAAGAAGAAGAGAAAGAGGAAAGGAGAGAGAGTGCAGTCTACCCGGGGAGATTATTTTCTTTCTGAAACATCTACAGCCTGTAGAGAAAAGCCTGTCACTTGCCAGCAACTGCAGAGAAGGACTCTTGCTCTTTCAGTGGAAGCAGCGGTCCCTTTACAAAGGTCAAACCCACCCCTGCTGAATCAGATCTATAGCTTTGCAATCAGCAAAGCTTATGCTCCCTCCTGATTGGAGAGCTCTGGTTCTGACTCAACAGGGGCTGTGGCGGACCTTTGTAGGGGGACCACTGTTTCTACCTACGGAGCAAGGTTCTTTACAGCATGCTGGCAGGGGGCGGGCTTTCTAAACAAAACATACTGTAAGACTTTAAACATATTTTGTGCTGAGATATCTGAAATGTATTTAGCGGATTTAAACTGAAAGTTCCGTTGGACTTTAAAGTGAACCTAGTGGGATATTTTCATGTTAAATGCCTGTATGCTAAGTACTGTTATATTGTAAAGCGCTGCACAAACTGTTGGCGCTATATAAATCCTGTTTAATAATAATAGTACTGAGTAAATGTCACACCTACAGATATTTTCTACCTCTTACTCATCACAGTACTTCCCCAACAAGGATTTCATTTGCTTTTCTCTCCAAAAGAATGGTGCCATCTTTTATTTTAGGTATATCTACTTGCAGATGCTAGACTCTAAATGGCATTAAGTAATTACCAATGCCTACGGGGCAGTCTTTGGGCCCCTACATGTGTTTTTGCACATGCTGCATTAGGCAAACAATTCATTCTGAGTGGTCTTGCGATGCCTCATAATGCAAAGAAATGTTTCTGCAGGATTTATAGCAATGTAGCGCACCACTGTGTTTTTACTCCACCTATTTGCAATCCAGAAACAAGCCTTTGGTTATGGGGTATGTGTAAACACATGTCCCATGAATGTGTCCCCTACTGCTGCATCTCAGCTGGAGAATTGCAAGAATGTTACAAAGCTAGCATTGCTCCTGCTGCAGCTCAAAAAACATAATTTTCCCAGGGTGCTTTTTTCAGACAAATCTTGGTAGAGCGGGTAAAAATCATTTTAAATTTGGTTTGCAGCCACTGCCATTACTCTGAGCTGTACAAAATAAAGCTGGTCTAAGATTAAATCCTTTCTCTTGGAAAAAGCCTCTAGCCAATTCCATGATGCTTGTCAAGGGCAGAACTACCATCATAAGCAGTTCAGGCAGCTGCTTAGATGCCATTAAGGTAGGTATGGCCCTGGTCCAAGTCTGAACACATTTTTATACATTCTGCTCTTTCACAATTATAATTTTCCCCTATTACTTTGAAAGCTTGTTCGGATCGCTGACAGTGTTGAGAATTTAGCTCTACTGTTTGCAGTGCAGACTACTCAACTACTTTTCTGCCTGGAACAGCATAGTTCTCCATCCTGCCATGAAGAAGAAACATCTCTCCTTTGGTACATATCACAAACTCAACACATCACTGGCCCAATACATCACTGGCCCATAAGGAGGAAGCGAAATCTCCGAGTAGAACCATTTAGATTGTAATGTGTTCAACTACAGTGGGCAGTAGTGATACGGGGTATGAAAAGGATCCCTATAGATGTACATTACAGGATGCCCACCTCTGATCATCAATGTTTAGGGGTATAAATAGCTTTGCTTTGTAGACCCCTTGCCACTGATGGTGGCTCATTACAGTTTTGCTTTAGAAATGATTAATTTCTAGGCTTGTGGCCATTTCTCTTGCACAATGTTCTGTCTGACAGTGTTACTAATATCCATACAACATCTTCTGAAACCCACCTTGCATTTCAGTTCCTCAATGATGCGAAAGTATGGGCTATAGTCTTCTACTTTAGGCTGGTGCTTAATGTACCACTCCTTGATTTTTGTTTCAAGATCGGCGTTGGCATCTTCCAGAGCCTTGACTTTGTCCAAGTAAGAGGCAAGTCGAATGTTGAGGTTTTGCATAGTCTCCTTTTCTCCTCCATGTAGAAGACCATCGTTGGCTCCATGATTCCCAACTGCAAAGTGGTCAGATGCTATAGCCAAGTCTCCAACCAGGCTGCTGATCCTGTGGCTGCTCACACTGCTAACTGATCTTACAGATCCACTTTTCCAATGACAGGACATGATGCAAGATGTCAGGTGCAAAGTTGAAGATCTTCAGGTAAGAAGCCCTTAGTGGATCATGTAACACTACACAGCTATGAGGTTTATATACAAGTCCCTGAGACGGGTGTAGTACCACATCACCTTTTTTTTCATTATAAAACACAAAGTAAATCCAGGTTGGATTATTACAAATTGCATGTAAAAAAATATGCAAGCTCTGTTTTTCGTAGATTTCAGAATGCCTATAAATGTTATGTTATAGAGGAGATTGTTGGTGTTGAAAAACAGATAACAATTAGTCAGGTAAATAACAATTATGACGTTGGTTTTTATATGGCAGCTTTCTGGAGATATGTGTAACTGATATTTTAAGGATTACTACCATCACTGCAAACTTGTGGGGCTAATCCTACATTTATGGTGACATGTTAATCCCTGCAGTTTGTATGTTAATGGGCTTAGTAATAGATTTGTGAAATATTATAGAAAATACACTTTATTAGGTAAATCAATATTTGACCTGACAGCAGGCTGAATTTATTGTTTTACAGACTCTGTCAAGTGTAAAGCAATAGCTTTTGCTGCCCATTGGAACCAAGTAGCACACATTGGGAAAGGGATCCTTAACATATTTCCATTTCTGAATGTATATTAGTTAAAAGGCCAATTCCACCTTCCAGACCATGTTTCATGTTACACCCATATTTAGGGTGTAACATGAAACGTGGTCACAATCAGCAGCTCCCCTTCCTCAAACCGCCCTCCCCCCTACTGTATCATAGGGTCCTTTAACTTTAATATCACTTCTCTGATTTCACTGCACACTGTCGGCATTTGTTTGGGGGGGTTTAATCATTTTCTAGCCCAAAAAATCAGATTTAATTATTTGTTTGCAAAAATAAAAAAATTGCTCCAGACGGGAAGTGGTTAAAGCACACCTTCTTAACCAGGGTTCCATGGAACCCTAGGGTACCTCTGGAGGTTATTAGGGGTTCCATGAGCAGTGACAGATTTTTACAATGGCCAATGTAAGGGGATATTTTTCATTGGCATACAATGTAAGGGGCCACTTCTTCAGTAACCACAAATGTAAGAGGTCACTTCCTCATTGACCACCGATATAGAGGGACAGTTCTCTAATGAGCACCAGAGAGGACACTTTTCACAATTTGTGTTTCTCATGCTCCTTATTATTATTAATTTAATATTAAGATTATAATTGTCTTATATAGAAGGGGGATGCAGCAAATTGAACCCCTCTGGGTGTCAAATGTTTAAGGTGTGCCCCGTTCTTTTATTTAAAACTTTCTACAACTGAACAATCATGCTAATAAGTCCTAAAAAAAATATTTCAATGTTTCATCCAGTGTAAAAAGGGTTAAGAATGGCTGCCTTTAAAGAAACACATGCGGTACATGTCTGCAACACATGCGGTACATGTCTGCAACACATGCGGTACATGTCTGCAACACATGCACATATTTCCATGTTTATCCCTTTAAACATGCTAAAAGTATAGAAAGTACTTATGATCTGCCAGAAATCCAGTGAGCTCCTAACTTCCTGTAGTGAGCTAATGATGCTGACTCTGCTGCACTGAAATCCCAAGCAATGTTATCAGCTCTGCCCAGTTCTTCTCTGCAGTATTACAGAACACCAGTGGTATACAATGGGGGGAAGAGTTGTCCATTCCAGGTGGAGCCAGGCTGGGGGAGCTCTAGGACTGTTACTCATGCTGTACACAACCACTAAGCAGGGACGCTGCAAAGTCATGGTGCAAGTTGCCCACAGTTTTGCAGGCAAATTCACATGTAATGCCCTGGTGCCCTGTCGGAGCAGCACAGATAAGAGGTAGCACTTTCAGGCTCCTCCTTGGCTCTGATGGGTCACATAACATGGCCGGGTGAAGATATCTTTCTCTCTGCTTCAGTTGCTGCTCTGTTTGAGGTCAGATGAGTAGTCTGCTGGGAGGGGGACATTCTTTTTGGGTTGAGTGGATTGATGTGAACAGATATGGGTTGCTTGAGGGAGAGAAAATGTTGGCATATTGACCAAGTACTTGATTGTTGTCTATATATTGTCACAATTACCCTTTTGTTGCCCGCAATTTGTTGCCTGTGATTGTCCATTTATTGCCCACATATTGTCATGATTGCTCATTTGTTGCCAACATATTGTCATGATTGCCTATTTATTGCCAACATATTGTTAGGATTGCCCATTGGTTATCTGCATACTGTCACAACTTGCCGTATCTTGCCTGAGTATTGTAACAGTTCACTGTTGTTCTCTGTGTATTGTATGCGATGGCCCATTTGGGGCTCATGCGTTGTGAGGATTGCCATTTTTTGTCTATTGTTACTGGTATATACATTCTTAGTATTTATTTAATTTTATAATCATTATTTTAAAACAATTGGAAAAGCATGGGGGGTGGGTATCAAATATGCTAAGTATAGTCACTGCAAAACACTTAGGGGTCTATTCACAAAGCTGCCGACGGATCTGGCCGTAGGTTCGGCCGATCCTTCAGCTAGCTTCGGCACCAGGACCCCTTCGGTTCAGGAGAACCGAGGGGGTGCTGTACGGGCTATTGACAATAGCCCGTACAGCTCCCGATCACGGCCGAGCGGCTTAGTCGAGCGCTGAGCCGTGCTGAAAGACGAAGCTGGCCGAGCGGCATTCGGCTGATACGAAGCAAGCCGATGTACAGCTGATTTCAGCCGATATACGGCTGAAATCAGCCGTACCAGCCTGAAGTGAATAGCCGAACAGTGTTCGGCTCACTTCACTTCTGATCGGTCATTCACTCGGCTGCCCTCGGCAGCTTTGTGAATAGACCCCTTAATGTGTTCTAACTTTGTCATAACAGGTAAGGCTTTGACAACTGTCTTTCCTAAATCCATGCTCACTATTACCCATGATGTAATTTTCTAGTAGATACTGTGGTACGTGTCTTTCAACAGTAAATATTGCTGGCCTATGATAATAGATGGCTCATGGTAGTTGGCTGGACTAGGAAATGATCCGCACACCTAATCCCCAACCACTAACCCTCAAAAGCAGCTGTGCAAAAAAGACCCAAATGGCCTTTCCAATCATTTCTAAATAAAGTGCTCAGCGCTAGTGACACTATTCTTTTGTTTAAAAATACATCCAATAAAAAAATAATTGTACAATGTCTGTGTTAAAACAACATCTCCAATAAATGTATTTTCACAATGATGAGTCCTCCCATCTGTGTCCTCCCATCTGTGTGATTCATAAATGCACTCGTCAGATCGGGTGGGCCATTGGGATAAATGGTCTAAGAGCGCTCAAGTGTAGTTAATGTTTGTTGGTTTAGTCATCCATCCATTCAAGAATTCCAACCCCTGCTCTCCTCCTCCTCATGTGCAACAGCACATCCAATTTTCATAAAAATATTAAGAAACAACCATAGCGTAATTCAGTTTTAAAACAAGAATTTATTAAAAAGGATTTAAAACACTCACAATGATATATGAATACAATTGCTTTCCAAAAGGTCTGAACCTACATTCAACAAAAGATCCCACCAGGAAACAGTCCTTCAATATCTGCTTAGCAAAAGACTTCAGCATGGTGGGTGGACTTAAGCTGGCCATACATAGATTATCTGCAGATTTTCTATGGTCATGTGGAAAAAGTGCAACAGATTCCTCCATCTACACTAAACTGTGTGAATGGAGGAATCTCCCACTGGGCCAAGCTTCAGTATCTTGCTAGTTGGCACCGCTGGATCTCAAAATACCAGAAAAATGCCTCCATCCAATCAGATTGTTCATGTATTTTGAAAGCCAGCAGGGCCAACTAGCAAGATACTGAAGCCGGCGGGAGATTCCTCCATCCACACAGTTTAGTGTAGAGGCCAGGTTCACACCATTTTCCAGACCAAATCTGGAACACAGTGCATTGCGTTTTGCCATGGTTTTGTTGCAAATTTACCATAATTTTTCCGCGTTCCAGGTTTTTTTTAAGCTTAAGATGGGGTTTCAGATGCAGTGCAGTGCGTTTGAATGCCTTTTTTGTATGCATTTTTTACGCGTTTCCATGCGTTCCTGTGCATTCCAGACCAGAGAAATTAGACGAGCACTATTTTTTTTGTCTGGTCCGGAACGGACTGCGCTGGTGTGGACAGAGCCCAGAAATACCATACAGATACATTGGGATGCTTTTTTGGTCCGGTAACAAACTGTTCTGGTCTGGACATGATCCGGACATGGTGCGAACAGGCCCAGATGGAGAAATCTGTTACACTTTTTCCATCTAACCATAGAAAATCTGCAGGTAATCTATAGATGTGTGGCCAGCTTTACAGGCTGAAGTCTTTTGCTAAACAGATATTGAAGGATTGTTTCCTGGTGGGATCTTTTGTTGAATGGAGATTTAGACCTACTTGAAACGCAATAGTATCCATATAGCATTGTGGGTGTTTTTAATCCTTTTTAAAAAAATTAATGTTTTTAAACTGAATTACGCTATAGTTGATTCTTAATATTTTTATGAAAATCGGATGCGCTGTTGTACATCAGGAGGAGGAGAGTAGAAGTTAGAATTCTTGAATGGATGGATGAATAAACCAACAAAAATTAACTGCATTTGAGCGCTGTTAGACCATTTATCCCAATGGTCCACCCCATCTGGTGAGTGCAGGTATGAATCACTGGCGGGAGGACAAAGACGGGAGGACTTATCACTGTGAAAATATATATTTATTGGGGATGTTGTTTTAACAGATACATTGTACAATTATTTTATTATTGGATGTATTTTTAAACAAAAGAATATTATCACTAGCGCTGAGCACTTTATGTAGAAATTATAGGGACTAGGAATCTTGCTGAGCCAGCAGGTAGATTAATGTCTAACTGGGCTTATATTGCTGTTACAAGCACGGATGTGACATTTTATTATTATCCATTTTAATGTGTATGACAATCAAAAAGCTAATTAAATACATCACATAGTTTTAGGAGGCTTCCTATGATCGTCTTTCC